AAAAAAAAAAAAAAAAAAAGTTGAGAAATATTGCGCATAAATAATTTGTGCCCCGTAAAAAGACAATCCAATTTTTGCTTGAGCATTGTTTCAGAGATAAAAGGTTAGTGAAAAAATAAAAGAGTAAAAGAAAAGGAATAGATGAATATATCCATTAACAGAAGTAAAACTGTCGTCTTTTTTCCAAAATTTGCTTTACTCACTAACCGTTTCAAAAAAAAAAAGCAGCTATTGTTTTGAATTTCTGCTTTACTAAAATCAAATATACATTTTTTGTATTAAAAAAACCAATTTTAAACAAAAAAAAAACAACCAATGTTTTTTTGAAGATTTTAACAACAGTTACATTGCGGATAAAATTTACAATAAATAAATTGCATCAACAGTTGTCAATGCAATTTTTTGATACCTCTTATCAAATTGTCCGCTTTTTTTTCTTTTTCATTTGTTAAATTACCAAATTTATAAAATCAATTTTTTTTTTTGTTTGAACGAAGCAGCAAATTTTTATTTCTCTATCTGTTTTTTTCTTTTTTCTTAGCAACAATTTGTAGGTCAACCATCAAATTCACAAGTTTCCAATTATAGCCACTTAGGTCGTCCAATTTTCCACTACAGATAACAGTAATTATATGATTGTAATAGCAAAAAAAATTCCAAAAAAGAATGGAAAACTATTTAATAATTTACAATTTGTAATATACTTTTTAGTTCTGTAAACAGCTGTGCTAAAAAAGTATACAAAATGTAATTTTTATGAATGAACGTGTAGTCTTCTACTTGACTGCAAAAAAAAAGAAAGAAAAAAAAAAGCTGTGGAACGATTATAAAAATATAAGTTTATCAATAAAAACTACCTTTAGTTTACAGCTAAAAAGAAAAAATACAACATTTCTTCTGTCAATCAATTTATTTTTCAATTATCAGACAGTATCAGAAGTGTTTATTGTACCTTTAAAACTTCAACTTTTTTGGCTTTTAAATAGTTATCATCTGTCGTAGCTGAATGCGAGTGTTTCATTAGCTGCTTGAGTCTTTATGTTATATAAATCTTTGCTTAAATCAACAAAATCTATTAATGGTGACGCCAAAAATTTTAGCTTTTGTTCTTTATACTTTACACAGAACAACAAATATGTTTTTTGGCAAAATTTTTTCACCAATTTTTTACTCAACCGTAACTTTGGAAACAAATGTCAACTAACTATTTCTTAGATGCAATAAAAATGTCACAACTGAACTATAAAAGTGTTTTTTAAAAAGACTAAGACTGAAACTAAAGACTGGTTTGTGTAAAACTTTACGAATTAGATGCTAATAAAAGTATATAGTTTAACTGTAGTCTCTGCTCACCAGGTTTAGTTAAGATTAAAGTTTATTTGGAATACTATCTAGGAATATATTAAAAATGTAAACTACAGTTAAAAAATTAACTCCAAATTGTTCGTATTATTTTTTTTTTAAATAATACTGTTTTTTTGAGAGCTAAGATTCTTCACAGAAATTTACTGTTGTCTTTGCTTATCAGATAACCAAAATGTTTGGTCTGTTGTCCATATTTAAAAAAACTGGTAAACAATTGCAAGAAAGTAGTCTTAAGTTTCTAAACTAACGAAAATTTAACATTATTATTTGTCTGTTTCGTCACTTTATTGCTGAGTAATTAGTGTATTATGGATGTGACAAAAACTTAAGACTAATTTAACTTAACCTGGTGAGCAGAGACCACAGTTGAACTATATACTTTTATAGCATCTAATTCGTAAAGCTTTATACAAACCAGTCTTTAGTCTCAGTCTTAGTCTTTTTAATACTTGAACAGATAGTTAATCAGTCTCTGAAAAATTAGAGTAAATTGAAAAAGTTTTTTGTATAAACTTTTTTTTTCAGTATTTAAATAATTGAATCATATAAGTACAATTTTTTTTTTTGTACGATTTTACTGTTGCATTAAACAAATGTTGTTTTAGTTTGGAAGTGGCCTATGTGATTGGTATTTTTATAAAGTAAAACTGCTTTTGTGAAAACAAATTTTTATTAACACCTACAAAAAATGAACAATTACAGAGCAATTCGGATTATTTAGTGGTTTATTTTAAGCAATCAAAGAAGAAGCAAAACAAAAGAAGCAAAAAAGAAAAACAGTGTAAAAGTCTTAAAAGTTTAAAAAATAATATATTGTAATAAAAAACTTTTTCTAACAAACTTATTTTACAATTATTTGAAGTGATTTATTAAAGCAATAAAAATGATAATTACTTTTTTTTGATCTTTTTTTCTCGACTTGTAATAGCTTATAAAAGTAACTCTTGAAAGTGTTACTTACCAATTTTAACAAATAACAAAAAACCTTTTTTTTATGCTTTTTCTTTTAAACTGAAATTTATGAATTACTGGACTAATAAAATAATTAACAGTAACTCAAATACTGCCACAAATTTTTACCGTTTTATAAAAATTACAAAAAAAAAAGAAAAATCTTTCTTTTCTAAGTTGAATTATTAGTTTTTTTTTTAATTAAAGAATCAAATAATTTATTGTCTTTTCATTTTTATATTTTTAAAAAACATTAACAACAAAAAGTAACTGCTAAGCAATTGTTGTGCAATTTTATACGGTTAAACAGTGACCTATAGTATTCCATAGAGTTTAAACGAATATAACTGAAGAAACACAAAGGTTGATAACTGAAAAAGAAGAAGGAGCAAATAAAACAGTTATTCTGTTGTATTTTTTGATACAAAAAAGCACTTTTTTCAAAATTATTTTACAGCATTTGAGATTACAGTAAATTATTGAGCAGAAAAAAATTTTTGAAACAACAACTGTAATTTGTCACTAAGTACCATAATACAGCAGTATAAAAAGCAGTAATAACAACAAAAGTTGGTAGATTAAGCTGACAGATTAAACCTATTAAGACGAGCACAAACGTAATTGTTTGTATTTTTGATTGCTTAAAATTGTTTTTCTGCATTTTACTCTGTAACTGTTGCAAATGTTGTCATCCATCTTTGATAACCTGTAAAATTTAATGAACTATAAACATTGTGAATATATAAAAACTTTGAAAACTTCTTTTAAACTTTATCACAAACAAAAAAAAAACAAAGAAACAGATACGAAGATAAAATTTAAATGAAATTTCCTACAAGAAAAAAAAGAAACTGATAAAGAGCTTAATTTTTATTCGAAACAATAAAAAGCAATAAATTTAGAAAAGAAAGGTTACCCGTAGTAATAAATTGTCGATAGGTATCTTCTAGTATAAAATCTGTAGAAACAGATACACTTGTATCTTTTTGAGATCCAAACAACTGATCAATGTAAGGTAAATTATTTCTTTCAAATGCATACAGTAAACGTCGAGCATTAAATGCGCTGATCAGTGACTGTGGTATATAATCTGAGATCCTAAATTACAACTAGTTTTAGCTGTTTCATTTACTTTGATTTTGCTTAGCTCTAAAAGTGTTAAGAATCTAAAAATGTCTTTGAAAAATTTTATCAAATAAGAATGTTCTTAAAAATTTAATAAAAGAAGACTTATTTGAAAACTTACTGAGGTGAAGCAGCAAAAATTGTAACAAAGACTGGTACATTGGTACGTAAACCAAAAACATTGCCTCTGTTCACCAGGTAATCAATGGCACTATAACATAAAGCATTTTAAAGTTTTTTAATTAAAAAAAACTATTTCTAATAAAGTAAAATATCAAAAAAATAAGCTTTAGCTGCAGAGTAATACTTTGAAATTGTTGCTAAAAAGAAGTTATAAAAATGTTGAAAATCTGAGTACTTAACCTGGTTATATTACTGGGAAAGAAATCAGCTCTATAATCAAGCATATTTCGTATATCTGCTTCAATACTGTTTTTCATAGTTTCATTTTCTTTCAAATGTTTATTAATTGGAATAATCTGTTCTTCAACAATACCGAACGAATCGTATGGTATAACACCAAGACGACTATTTTGCGGTAAAAACGTTCCTGCATGCATCAAATCTATCATTAATGTTTTCGCCTGCAAAATAATCGCTTTGTTAAAATTAGCATTTCTACTTTTTCGCGAAAAAAAAAGAAAGATTTAAAGTCAAAACGATACGTGGTCGAAAAGTTGTGCAGTCATATTAGAAGAATGATCAATGATAAATACAAAGTCTGCAACTACGCTTTTCACTGGTGGTGGAGCAGGAAAATTATATGTTTTATACACTGAAAATATAAACAGTTTTATCCGTTTTTTAGCCGTAAGTATTTGAAATATGGGTTTTCAAAAAACAAAAACTAAACGTAATAGTTTAGCAAAAAAAAATTTATTTGCGTTTGTTGCAATACGATAATTAATTGATCATCTTGGAATTGTTTAGCATAATTTTAATTTAATAACAAATTTATCTCTTAGAAAACCAATTTAACTATAATACATTTGTCGACTGTATTAGTCATCAGTGATGTATAGTTTCCGGTAATTGATAAACTTTCAACGTTTGGCACAACAGCGTAGAAAGCTGTAGTAAACAGTCGTAAAAATCCAGCATTAGTATTATCTAACCCGTCCATATTTAAGCCCAAAGATTGAGCTTTAAAAAAGATTTTTCTTCTTGCTTCTTCCGTTCTCGATGGATCATTAATTAACCTGTAATTATATAGTTTTTTTGTCTTTAAAACCACTGATACTGGTTAGGAGACTTGGAAATATTATACTCTTGCGCAGTTGAAAGAGCGATCACATAGGTAGGTCCCTTTCGCCACCCATTTTCAGCAGTCAAAATATAATCAGCAATATCAATAAAAGCACTGAAAAAAGCAGCAAATACTAAACTTGCCAAAAAAAATAGCATAATTTTTCTTGATGAATCTCTCAGTCGAAGGAAAGTGTTAAATGTGTGGCTTGAAAACAGAGTAAAAAAAGAGCGATAGAAGAATGAACAAAATTTTACCCAGCAATATCAGATGGTAATGGAACATCATTTGTTTCCAACTTTAATCCATTAATCTGAAAACCAATGCATAAGAAAGTGAAACCAGTAATTAATTTAAAAAAGCGAGAAATAAAACTGCAATGTTTCATTTCAAAAGTTTATATTTCTTTAAGAAAAAGAAACGAAAAAAAACTAAATTTAATGGTCATTTCTGTTTTATTTCTCAAAAGATAAAAAAAAAATTTCTTTACCTTTCTTTCAAAATCTGCTTCACTTTTAACTTCCCAAAAATGAAAGCCATTTTCCACATTATTTTCATCTGTATAACAATGAGCAGCAATCTGCGTATTTGTTGGACCAATGTTAAACTGTTTACCAAAGTTAAGAATGAATTTTTTGATCTAAAAATTAAAATTACTTTTTACCATTAAAAATGCGCTGCTAATAGCGCAAAAAAAAGCAGTTGCAAACATTTTAAAATTATTGAAACCTTACAATTGGAAACGTTTTATTACTAACGAGCGTTAGATCGATGGCAAACACCAAGTCAACGTTCAGTTCTTTTAGTGGAATTACATGAGATTGCATATAAGTTTCTTGAACTGTAAAAAATTCAAGATTACAATTAGAAATTTTTTTTTAAATTTTTTGTAATTTTTGCAAGATTTAAAAATGTTAAAATGACAAGCAGTTGAGACTTTATATGAAAAATTTTATATGAGAAAGAAATGTTGCTAGGATGCAGTTATGTTTTTAATCGTTTACCATCAGCAAGTTTCATAAAGAAATGTGTCATTGGATTCTGAACTGTTTTTGCCCGAACATCTTCTACCCAGTTTTGCAGACTGACAGAACTGTCAAGTACAAATGTGGAAGCACTATCAGTGATAACGTTTAGGTAGCCAACATTAGGATTTATGCTGATCGCATAAATATTTCCAGTATTTTGAAGAACAGGTGCAACAATTTCAGCACCAACTGTTCTAAATTATACAATAATTGAAGTGATATATTATTACAATTTACAATTTTGTTGTTGACATTTTCAAAACAGTATTCAAAACAAAGGTTTTTTTTTTTGTTGTTACATTTTTTATAGTTTTCTAAGAAGATTTTTCAAGTTCAAATAAGCATTTCAATACGTATTTTGATTTTTAATCTCTAAAATAAATTGCTTTGACAAAGCTTGCTAATGATTACTGTTGAGATCCTAAGATAAAAATTATATGTGACGAGCGATTGCCGTTCTTCCAAAATGAGTCCTTAAACATTTGTACAGACCTGAAAAAAAGCGTTAGAACATTTGAAAAACAATCACTTGATTTTCAAATATTTTTTATTAGTAAAGAGTTAGAAGTGATATTATGAAAACACTTTAAATTTAAAAAACTTTAGCGTGACTGCTAATTATGTGTTTCCAAAAGCGATACGATAGATACCTTCCAATATTGCTTTTTGCATGAGCACTGGATGTATAAGTTAAACTGTTGAGATAACTGTTTAATTCCTAAATTCCACTCGAATTTATACGGCGTTGAATTATTCATTAATGACGACAGAATCTTTTGTAACTTTTGAATTCAGTAAATTTTTAAGACGAATGCGCATTGATGTAACCAAAGGAATTTTTTACAAAATATTCCAAATAACTGTGAATAAAGACGGCATTAGAAACTTCTTACAGTTATATCATAAGTCAACTGCTGGCCTCCAACAATCTCCGATTCAAATGGTATAATGGCTATACCGCAGTGCAGTGTATCAATAGAAAGCCGACCAGTGAAAGAAATAAGAAACTCTTTGATATGAGCAAAATCAGAGGCACTAACTCCATCTGACTGGTCAATAACGAAGTAGAAGTCTGCATAAATTTTGCTAAGTGGTTGAGTTCCTACAAATCGAAAATTGCGCAAGTTTTTCCAGGCACACTGTTATTGCATATAATTTGAAAGCAGTACTTTTGCTGGTTGTGTCATCGTAAATTTGATCTGACAGATCGTCTCCAGTAGCAGTTATACCAATCATGTCATCTGTCCAGTTTGATACTTGAAAACTGGTGTATCCAAATTGACTTAAGTGCCAGTTATCAACCTCAACTCCTAACCCAATTGCTTCTGTTCGAATTCCCATTTTTTGTAGATTACGAAGCGGAGTTAAATAGTCGTTATTTAATGGACTAAAAAATTACAACAAACAGATAAGTTTACATTCGAAAAAAAAATTTTTCTTCTTTTTTTTATTACAAAACGTTTTCGTATTTTTAATGCTATAAAAGTTTTTGAAATACCTTCCAGATAAGAAAATCCACAAGAAATTTTCTTTGTAAACATTAAAGTCAGAAAGTGTTTCCACGTAAACCGTTGAAATCAATGTCAAAAGTGCTCTGAAAATAAGGATGTAAAGTTTTAAAAGATAAACATTCATGCTGTTTTGAATCCCAATTCAGCTACAAGTGCAGACTTGTTAAGGTCACGAACTGGTGAAACAGGCATTTCTCCAAATTGGAGCATTTCTCCAAGTGCCCACTGAAGCTTTTCAAATGTATCGACCTGAAAAATTTTTGTTTATAACAATTTATTAATCTTAGTTTTACCGCACGATCAAACAGGTCGATGTTTAAAAATCAAAGCGAGGATAACGATTAACTGAACCTGATTAAATAAAGCTTTCACAACGACGTCCTCGTTAAAGAGAGCGATTGAAATTCTGGTATTTTTGGGTGTAATACTATATCTGTGTAAGGTTCTTTTTAAAAATTCTCGTACCTTAAAAAATCAAGTTGTTTAAATATCATAACATTTTTATTCGACACAAAGAAGAGAAGCAGATTACAGTCTCAAGTTCGCGACTTCCCATTTTTGAAGACACATCGATCAATACTGCTATATCAGGCCACACTTCTCGAGCCGTTACAGCTGGTGGTGGTGGAGTTCGTAAACCAGTAGTTGTTGTTGGAACAGGAGTTGTAGCTGTAAAAACGTTTTGTTAATTTAGATTTTCTGATTGTGCTGCTTTCTATTTGAAGTAATTACTAAGACTAGTAGAGAAGTTTACTTTTTGGAGTAACATATCGGCAAAGTTTACTGGCAATTTGATTGCCATATTCCCGCCTACTTAACTGATTTGAACGATCGATGCTGCTGTATTTATCAATTTGCAGAAGTTCATGATGTGGTACAGTGAGCGTTCGATTTTTCAGCTCTAATTCAACTCCCAAAACATAGCAGTTAGGTAATTCATCAAATTTTCTCTTTGCTGCTTCTGCATTAAAGGGGCTGAAAAAAAGCAGCTAAACGTCGGTAAATTTAAAACAAAGAAGCAAAACGTGAAACTGAGCAGTGATAATATAGGTCTGTAAACAGTTTTTATTTGGTATTTCTTGGCTTAAATAAGTTAATAGTTCTTGTTAATACCTTTTGCGCTGTTTTTTAAACATTTTTTCTATTTACTTTTGTTTTCCGCAACATTCGCTAACAAAGAAGAGGCAAGTTTCTGTTACTTTGAACTAAAATTTTTCTTTGACGTTTACAAATTGATCTTTTGATTTTGCAAGCTGGAAATTTTGAAAGACATAAGAAAGTGCAGAATTTCGCATAAAAAGACTTTTTTGCACTAATTGATATCATCAAAAGCGCATTAATTTAAAGATTATTTACAAAAATGTTTGTTTTACAAGACACCAATTTAACCTTCAGGAAACACCAAACAAATGCTCTAGAAAGAGCTTTAAATAATATATAGTCTTAGCAGTTTAATAATTTGTTTCGACCCCTATTAACTGCTTCTGTTTTCTTTTTATAACTAAGTAGTACAGCTAACTGCTGAAGGGTTTTCAGTTGCTTACTCGACAAAATCTGTTATAACGACAATTTCTTTACTGGCATAATATCGACCAGTCTCTCGAAACATACGACCAATTCGATCATAAGCACTAAAATTGTAGTTATAATTTTTTAAAACATGTGATTTGTTAGCGATGTTAACTAAATTGTCAGCAGTCATTAAATGTGCATTTTCGACTAAATTAACAAATCAAGAAAAATGGTTGAAGAAAGTGTATGGTTTACTTGGAAATCAATTGCGTCGTATGCGGTTCTATAAATGTCGTTTGATTCAATAGGCTTATGTAGCCGGAAACGTTATTATAGCCGGTGAAATCGACGATCTGTTAAAGATCATATCGTTTTCACAATTATGTCAGGTTAATGTTTACCTGTTGCAGAAATAAATAACACGTCTTTTTATACGTCAAATATGATACCTCAGTTAGCAGATTATTAGTGTAGGTCATAATAGCAATGTTATACGGACTGTTACTTTGAGTTCTTGATGCACCTAACAGTGTTCCGATCAATTCTTCTCCAATAAATGATAACAGCTAAATAGTAGCAATTTATTTCTAATTCACCTTTTTCTGTATGTGTACGAGTGTTTACTGGCAATTGCTTTGAGAGAAATTTAGCTTTAAAATTACTATTAAAGAAAATAAAATAAGATAAAATCTGCTGCACATTAAGTATAATAGTGTTATTATAGTTATAAATATTATTAAATGTTGAAAAAAATATCTTTTTTTTAAATTTTTTTCAGCTTAATGTAAAGCATAAGTAAACAAGTTTTTTTTTACAAGTAATAACTGTAATTCTTGAACACAAGAGACGTTCAAACTGTGATTGAAATGCTTTTGCAAAGTGCATCTCTGAAGGAGGTCTGAATAAATTGGCAGCTACGCTTATTTGTTCCATACACGTTCCGTTCGGTAAAAGTTATCGTATTAGATCTTCCCCTTATTACTGCCAAAAATTAGTGTTTAATTTATCGTCTAATACTCAAACTAATAGAAAGACTGATCAGTACAAAGGTTTGCAGTTATTATGCGATCCTAGACTTCATTTGCTAAGCCATTCGCAACCACAAACGTCCAAAAACTAGCAGAGGTGTCAAACTATGTAAACCGTTTTTTTTTTTTTTGCCTACTTGGTGATGCTGAATCTCGATCACAAAACCGTGACCACTTTTATCTAGTTACTGTGCGCTTTTTCTCTTTGCTATAGCTAGATTTACACATCCGAGGATTGTTGCCGCATATCAGAATGTTCTCTAATTTTACATTACAGACCTACGGCTTTATTAATTTCAATTGTATCGTTGCCGCAAGGTTTCAAATCTGCTGCTGTAATAAAGTTAGGCTTTATGAGGTAAAAACTATATACTGAGAAAATTGAGAAAACCCTGATATTTTTTATATAGCGCAGCTTAAATTTGAGCCTTTTTTCTTTAATTGAATCATTCTTTATAGTTTTGCATTCCAAGTTCTATTCGTCTATACAGCTAGAAAATTTGGAAATATTTTGCAGTAATTTTTGTTTAGCTTTATTGAGGTATGATTTGCCAAGTAGAAACAAAAGACAGAAGTGATGCAACTAACTGTGTAAAAGTTTTTCGACTCGGTTGCATGAAAAACAATAGCGAGGTCGATGTATTGGGGGCACGGTTCTACTGAAATATACCTTTTACTGAGCTTATCAACTATTAAAAGGTAATCTCTGTTCAAACAAATATAATGACGACAGAAAATTACTGTTTTTTTCTGCTAATTATTGATCGTCAGAAACGGCTTATTTTAAAATATATATAGACCTCTATCAGACAATTGTCCTGGTGCAGGAGTTGTCCTCGCAGTAGTCGGGAGATGTGGCTTTGTCGGTAAAATAGTGGTACCCATAGTCGTTACAATGTATGCTTAATTCAAAGCTTAAATTAATGAAAACGGTGCCGTAATAAAAACGTGCATTGAAGAACTAAACGTTACTTTCAATCAAGAAAGAAAACGTCTTGACACGAAGAAAAATTGTTTGTTTTTTACTGCTGTCTAATGTCTACAAGAAAAAACTAAGCCAAAAGTAGGCTGTCGTAGAAGAGCGATAATCTATGAAGTTCTCAGGCTTTAAAATATGAATCCTGGGCATATTGCTGAAGAACACAAAGAAATGTACTATGCTTCTCTATTCCTACTCATCTCCCAGAGAATACCATTTAAGTATGGAAAGATCAGTCCTCAGAGAGGAGCACTAGCAAAAAAACAGGCCTTACGAATATTGCATTGAAAGATATTTGACGTCTAAATGTGACGTGAGATTGTGTTGGAAAAAAACAGGTTTATGAAGCTTAAGGATCTGTGAGTGTACGCCACCGTACCCCCAACTTTGAACAACTCTCATGTCATCCAGCAGACATTTATTCAGAGTCGATAACATTACGACCTTGATGATTTGACTTTGTATTACCCGGACGCTTTAGTTCACATGTCGTTGAATTTGCTCACTAAAGGAATCCCATTGATGTTTCTGTTCCCTGGTATACTTTTTAATTGTTACTAATAACCATTCGCTGGCTTCTAGCTACTTATTACAAACAAATTTTTGACTTGAACTGTACAAAATTAGAAGTATAAAATGCTAGACGTTTTAAATCAAAAAACGGAAACGTCGATTTTGCTTCGTAATTTACTCCGTTTTTTTTCGCCAATAAAACGTTAAGTGCGTAACAAAAGTATACTCTAGTTTCTAGTGGCCTTCCTGTTCACTTATCATTCCTCACCTAGAAACCACTCTACAGGTGTTTTTAGAAATAAAGCTAGTATGGGTCCTAAGAGGCCTTTTAACCTGTTCCTGTAAAGCTGCAGTTCATTTATCAGTGGCAAAAAGCTACGAAAAGTAAACAAGAATGGTAAGCTGACAACAAACTTCCGTCAGGCTTTATTTCTACCATTTGCTTAATTTTTGTTTTAATGCTAAACAGAAGAAGAAGTGAGTAGATATTGCAGAAAAAAAAAGAGACCAAGAAAAAAAAACATTAGAACTGTATTGGAGGGTGGGCAGCAGCGCTTTACAGAACTCGTGGCTTTTAGAAGCAGGCTAAAGTAGAAGTATTCTGCATATCCGGTATAGAAAATCTATCGTTTTTCTAAAATAGCGCGCTGCTGTAAAAAAAAAATTAATTCAAAAGAATTCCCTTCTAAAATAAAATCACTTTTTGTAAAGCAAGTTCGTCTTTTTTTTTTTTTGATTTTTGAAGCAAAAAGTAATCAAAATAGAAATTTTTATCTTGATCAAATGTTCCTACGATTTGGCTGAAAAAACCTAATTTTGTTTTTACTCTAAAAGCAAAAATTTTTAATACTATTTGCAAAAAAAAACCAAGCTACTAACAAAGTATAATTTAGCATAAAATCAAAATAAACAGGTTTAAATACACTGTTATGAACTAATGCTAATAATGCTAACAGAGGTCACATTGTCGCTTAATTACCTCGACAAATCCAGTCGACTGTCATTTTTACAATAGCGTTGTTATTGATTTCAGAAATCCCATTTAACTTATAAATATTGTAACTGTTATCAACACAAGCGAGAAACATGTTTTCGGTGATAATGCTCTGAGTTGCCAACAATACCGACACGGAAAAATATTTAGAGTGTAAACGTCTGGAAATTTCTGGGGCTTGCGTCCAAGTAGTAAATTCACTGCAAAAAATAATTAAAATATAGTGAAGAAATACTTTGCATGCAAAAATTTTGCTCACTTTTGACTAGCAAACTGCAAAGATGGCATTGTAGATGCTATATCTCGCTTTTCCTATATAGAGTTTCAACTTACAGCGTCGAA